GGTTCAACCGTAATTTTACGAAGCTACGAGAATATTTTTTGTGTGCAAAGGAAACAAAAATAACAACTTTATTCAACAATTCATCTCCTCCGCGTCACCCTATAGCGCCATTTTGGAGAGTATCATATACGTAAACAATGCATGCAACGTGGATACGTTGTTTACGTTCAGATCAAAGTGTAAACCTCGTAAACAGCATATCCGCATACATACATTGCATGCATTGTTTACGTATGTGATACTCTCCAAAATGGCGCTATAGGGTGACGCAGAGGAGACGAATTGTTGAATTAAGTCGTTATTTTTGTTTTCTTTGCACACAAAGTATTCTCGTAGCTTCGTAAAATTACGGTTGAACCGCTGATGTCACATGGATTAATTTAATGATTTCCTTGCTACGTTTCTGGACCTTGATCATGTTAGGATCCTTGCTGTCTATGGGAGGGTCAGAGAGCTCTCAGAATTAATCAAAAATATCTTAATTTGTGTTCCGAAGATGAACAGAGGTCTTACGGATTTGGAATGATATGAGGGTGAGTAATTAATGACAGAATTTTCATTTTTGGGAGAACGATCCCTTTAAGCTCATGTTCGTGTCTCTGTCCCTCAGCTGGTCGTCACCGGAGCTGGAGTCCAGCCAGATCCGTCTCATCGTCTACCAGGACTGTGAGCGGCGCGGCAGGAACGTCCTCTTCGACTCGGACGCCAGAAAGAGAAGCACAGAAGATGCCCCGGTCACGGTGAGTGCTGTGAGAACCAGAGGCCTTATCTCCAGTAATAATAGCATCAGCTGACTCTGAGTGTGTAAGCATTCTTTCACATTCACATGACTGAAGGCGTGTCGAGCTCTCTGTCACGTCTGCCAGTTGTTTGTCATTAGCTGTCATGAGGCTGCGGGGGTGCAGTGCAAAAGCCGGTTCACCAAAGAAACCAACATTTTCCACACCTGCTCTTGTCATCTGCCTGCGATGTGAAATGTGAAGGGAATTCTGATCTGTGTTTCCCCAATCAGTCTGGACTGAATGTGATGAGAGAAAATAATAAGTAATTCAGCTCATGAAGAGTGTTGATGTTGCAAAATTGATGACCGTTCCAAAATGTTTTGTGCACCAAACAGGATTTCTGCGTATCTTAATTTAGCCTTCCACAAATGAAGACCTTAAAGGTTTTAAATCAGTGCAGAAAGTCATAAAGTTTTGGTATTAAATGTAAAAATTAATGTCTTTCTCAATTTCTCCTTTTTTTAATGCATTAAAAAGTAATGGAAATCAGTTGGAAATTAAATGTTTAAACTCTGAAGTGTTGCTAATATAACTAATTAAGAACACAATGATTTATTGTGTTCTGTTCAATTTATTCCACGCATTTTGTCTTTAAGTCTTAAATTTACCTTCATAAAACCTGTAGGAACCCTGACTAAAGCGCCATGAAATTTAAGTCAGTGTCATTACTGATTGTTCCACATGGTACAACATTATAAATAAGTAAGCCCTGTATCATTCATTCAGTGGCTTAACATTTGATATTTATCAGTCGGTTCAGTATGGCTTTGACCTGAAACCTGCTGAATAATAAAAACACACAGCATGTGTAAAATATTGCTGTGGTTGGGTGATGATTAAAAACCTTCCTAAACGTAAAGCATGCTCCTTAAAATCCACTGCAGGTTCAAGCTGCTGCTGTTGCGCAGTGCAGCCAGATGAATAATAAACAGCCTGTCTAGTGTGTTCGGGTGAGGCTCTGGAGATCGCTGATATGGAGCCGAGCTGAGGCTGCAATCACATGACGCTTTTGGCAGAGGATATTGTTTCGCTAGAGAGAGAGAGAGAGAGAGAGAGACAGACAGACAGAGACAGAGAGTCATTGACTGAGAGCAGAAGAGAGCGAGTAAGCAAACGGTCCTGCTCACGAGTTGTTAAGGAAGTCATATGACAGTCTCACATGCTCGAGTTCCTTTGTGCTCTTCACAAAGCAGGACGAGACTCAGCATGAGCCATTAGAGACACTGAGCCTGGCACGCACAGCCAAAACATTCATTAACTCAGGCCTTTCCCTCATCTGGACGAGTGCTGGATGTCTCATGTAACACCTCACAGAGATATGAAGGGTTTCGCTCTTTATTGACTCGCAACAAGGGTTGAAGTTAAACGGCATGCAAAAAAAGTGTTTATGTGCACGCTTGGCTGTTAAGAGATACATGTCTCTCCGTTAAGTCCATGCAAACAAAGCTAAAACTTCAAAATGTTCAAAGACTAGGGCTGGGCAGTATTGCCAAATAAGACTACATATCTTGATCTTTTTTGGCTGAATTGTGTTATATATGGTATATATCTCTATATTCTACTTTTTCTGTTTGGATTGAAAAAAAATATTTATGAGAGGGGGAAAAAATCACATCCTGTCCAACGTTGTCCAATGAAACGATGTTCATTCATATTAAAGGCTATGAAAACAAATATAGTGAATGTAACCATGTAGGCTAAGCTATATATTATGTGCAAAAAAGGGTTAAAATCACATTACATTCTAACATTGTAACATTACAATCTAAAAACTAAAATAATGCTGTTAAAGCAAATGTTAAATTCACTAAACTAAAAAATGAAAATAAAACATTTAGTGTGTTAAATGTGTTTGGATTGACGTGAAGGTGCGACAGATTATTCATTCATGAGTGAACTAATTCAGGAACTGCTCTGGATTCAGTGAATGAGTAATCAGACTGACTAATCTGCGTTTGAGAGTCGTTTTGAATGATTCCTTTAAAGTACGACTCATACACAAGAGTCATCTGATTGTGGATCATATTAAACTGGTCTCGCTGTTTCTTTTTGCACGTTTATTTGCTTTGCGGTCATGTCTCATCATTCAATCCAGACTCTCCCCCTTGCAACTTTAAATAATGATTAGTGACAATTGATTCAACATTAACTGTTTAAAACAGCATTCGCTTTTGTGTGCTGCTGCATTCACACTACAGACAATCATACACCTGAAATGTCTTTTTTGCAGAATGTTGTTCTTGACGAACCGGTGTGTTTCTTAGGTTTAGTGACTGCGCTGGGTTGTTGAGTTTGTCCGTGTGTTGTTTGCAGAGGGTGTGTGGAGAGGCACAGGCGAAGATGTTTGGGAAGTGTTGTCAGCTGAGGCCTACAGGCGGAAGCTCCAGTTCCCTGGACAGCAGCTCGTCCTGCGCCTCCGAGCCCAAAGAACAAAACCGCTTCCAAGTGAGTCCCGTCACAAGCCTTCGCTCTCTCTCTTCATATTCTTCATTGCCGATACTGTATCGATTCTAAAAAACGCATTATCAATATTTAAAAAAATAAATAAATGTAGCCTATGCAAGATTCCTGGCCATTGTTTCGTTTTGAGTTTATATCCTGACTGCTAGATAGCACTCTTCTTACCTCTGAACTTAAACAGTGACAACTTGTGTTCCGTTTCTGCAAGGTTTGTCCAGTCCCGCCCGCTCCCGCAAACATTCTAATATTACATATAATTTTCGCATATCAGGGAGCCGCTATCAATGGGGAGTATTTAAATCTCTTTTGAATGAGCGCTCGCGCTGTTCATTTTCACTTTTGATTTCGCGATCACGCGCACTCTGAGTAAAGGGAGCGCATCTTACGATATAAGATATTTGTCAATGAGCTGTTGAGTAGCAAATCCTCCACCATGGTCGTGTAGGTCATCCCTCCTCTCGACCCATGATCAGTCACATACATACATTATGTATGTATGTAAATTGATTTTATTTTTGCTAAGGTTTGCATATGGGGGTGTGTTCTAAATGACAGTTTTCCTAAAATTCTATCCTATTCTCCTATTCCTAAAATAAGAAATATCCCAATATATCGTCTTGCTTACAGTATCGCAATATATCGCAACATATCTTATCGCAACCATATTTAGTTCAAATAATGAGACGCTATAGACTGTTACCAATCAAATAAAATCAGTATCAACAAAATCCATTTTTGCAAGCTGCATCTGAAGCATTAAATCTATTTACACAGCAAATACAACAATACTTTGAGATTAATGTTTTAAAATTAACATTTTGAAAAAATGTTATGTTAAATATGAAATTAAAACTGCCAGTAGGTGGCGTCAGTTCACTGTTTTAAAGAGCGAGTCATTGAGTCTTTTATTTAACCTGGGTAATTCTTCCGATTTTATCGATTCTAATTTAATGCTTTTCCACTGTTATTATTTTTTTTATAAATCGAGAAATCGCGATTTTTTTTTAATAGAAATATTACCAAATGTTAGAATTAGACACGTTGACAATATGCAAATTATAACAGTTAAGAGAAAAGACTGATCCGACTTGGTGCTCAGTGGAATAAAAAAACCTATAAAGAGCTTCTACTGTGTGTCTGATATTTCATGTTTGCATGATGGTGACAGACAAGCTGCTGTTAAATTGTTTATACAAAACATTTAATAATAGTCTACTAGTGTTATACTTTTAGCCATTTTGAAATTGAATTTCCTTGACTTTTGAGTTTTTAAAAGCGTTTTTCATATTTCTGAACATATATGTTTAAGACAAGTTTGTACAATATGTGCCTTCATATTTCATGCATCTTTTCTGCATGTATATTTATCAAGTGATTTGCTTTACATTTAGACCATGTTAACAACTTCATGTGTGCTGCACTTGGAATTGTGCTCGCGATAATTAGATGGTTAATAAATAAAAAATGTAAAAAATTTAAAATTTTCTTTATCAAAAACAGATTGATAATAGTGTCTAAAATATAAATCACTTAATATTAACTTGATGTTATTGAACTGGTGCATAAAATCAATACCATTTGCGATAGTGATACTATTAAGAAAAAAAACAGAACTCCTGTTCGCGTGATATTGCTGAACTATATCATATAGAAATATAAAATAATAACTCCTACGGAGTATTTTTTGCCCTCATATCTTGAATTTCAGATCATTCAGTGAAAGCATGCTCTCAAGACGTGCTTTTGTTTGGTTTGTGCAAACTCAGTGACGCTCATCAAAGTCAGCTCTCACATCGTTAAAACAACAATTACTGTATCATTGGATAAGATGCATATCACACACCCATGTGTGCTGCTCCTGCAGATTCAAACTTGTGTGCTTTGCTCTTTCTTTCGTTGTATCAGGGCTCCTCACGGTGCTTATCAGACGCTAACATGCTCGGAGAAATGATGTTCGGCTCAGTGGCCATGAGCTACAAAGGCTCAACGCTGAAGATTCACCAGATAAGGTGAGAGCGTACGGATGTCAAGCTGATGGTGTGTGTGATGAGCAGTCTGTGCTGATCAAGTGTGTGTGTTTGTTCCCAGATCTCCTTCACAGCTGATGCTCAGTAAAGTGTTTACAGCGAGAACGGGCGGAAGCGTCTACGGCAGCCTGAACACGTCTCACACACACACACACTCTCTCACACACACACACACTCTCTCACACACACACACACTCTCTCACACACACACACACTCTCTCACACACACACACACTCTCTCACACACACACTCTCTCTCTCTCTCTCTCTCTCTCTCTCTCTCACACACACTCACACAGACACACGTTCAGCGGTACATTCGCTGTGGTCCGTTGCCTCATTGCACCTCTTGATTACTTGACAGACTGCAGGACAGTTTAGAGTTCATCAATCAGGACTCCGGCGCGCTGCGGCCCGAGCAGAACACCGCCGCCAACGGCTTCCTGGGCAGCATAGGTAACGCAAGATCCTCCGTGCCTCAGCCTGAACTTACTCCACATACACTGTCAATACAGTTTCAATCGCCAAATTGTTCCTTTGATGACATTTGCTTTTTCAGCTGGCAAAAACATTTGTTACACTGTTTTATGTTTTATAATCTCAGTGCTTTTCCAAGTTTTCTTCTGTGTCTGTCCTTCTCCATTGTGCGCAAGTTTTCTATGAAATCGTCACATCGTCACTGTTTTAAACATTGTGATTGTGTTTGTTTTGAGGACTCATTGAGAACATGTCCAGGTCATAGTTCTTTCTTTACATTTTGGCATTTTACTTTGCATAAAGAAACTGTTTAACCTAGACATATTTTATTTCAGGATTTAGGATTGTCACAAAACCTTCTAGGAATGAATTGAGACATTGCGAAGCATTTTTATCTACTGATGTTTTTTTTTTTAATTATCTACTGATGTTTTTTTTATTGTATTTTTTAAAATATTAACCATTTTTCCTTTCCTTTTGACTTCCTGGATTAAAAAAAAAAACAGCAGATGAAAATGCTTTGCAATGTCTCAATTTTATATATAATGTCAATTTTATATATAATTTAGATTTATTTTCTTAAAAATAAATCTAAATTAATATATATATATATATATATATATATATATTAATTTAGATTTATTTTTAAGAAATAAGTTGTATTATAAAATACTATAATTTAGTATATAAATAAAATATAAATGTGAAGTTTTCTCTCTCCAAAATCATGTTGTTTTTGATATGAATAAATACTTAAAAAAATTTTTTTTATATTAAATTAAGCCGTTTTGTCTTATATTACACCAAAATGATGTTGCTTGAGAGCTAATGCAATAGAAAAGAGTAGTAAATATTTTAGTGCTACTTGATGCCTCACCACTTTCATCTGTCATTTTGATTTTATGTTGTCATAAATAAATGCAGGAAAACAGGACAGTGATATACAATTATGGGTAAGGATGTAACATCGCAATTTGAAATGTTGAAGAAAAAAAATAACTTTTAAAGAACTGGCCATTATAGTGGACATCATGCATTAGAGGGTTAAAGAAAAAATAAGTGACACAATAATGTGATTAAAACTGCAGAGACCGAATAAGAAGTGAAAAGTAAAAGCCTCATTTATCAGCCGGTCACACAGATACAATGAACTCTTGAGTTACCTTCATGCTATAAATCACCATTACCACTACAGTTCAGTATAGTTGACACTAGTTTATAATACAGTTCATTATAGTCCACAACATGAAGGTTTTGAACAAAAAATGTGAAAGACAAAAATAGCACTTGTATCCCTTGGTTAGCTCATGGTGCTGTCATTTATTATCCAGCCAAATGTCCTGAAACATTACAGTAATGAGAGAGAAAATCTGATTAGTTGTCATGAACATAAAGTTCAGTACAACAAATCCTAATGATCCTAAATATAGGCTTGATTTCTTTTTATGCAAAATGTCATTTTTGTTTTTAGGCTGAACCATGACCCGCACATGTTTTTTGAGTGTTACCTAACTATCATGTATATTGAGTCCAGTTTTCAGAATTGTTTGTGTGCAACACCCACAGAATTGACTCCACAGATTATTGAATTGAGCCTGAATATAAATTTTCTGTGTGGTGTTGCCATTCATCTGTCTGTCTGTGTCGTCCTGACAGCTTAAGATGCACTACTGATCAAAAGTGTGGAGTTATTACGATTTATAAATGCTTTTTACAAAAGTCTCTTTTGCTCACCAGGACTGCATTCATTTGATCAAAAAATACTGTAAAACCATAATGCTGTGAAGTATTATTACTCTTAAGTAGCTGTTTCTATATATTGTAAAATGTAATTTATTCCTGTGATCAAAGCTGTATTTTCAGCATCATTGCTCCAGTCTTCAGTGTTACATGATCCTTCAGAAATCATTCTGATATGCTGATTCGCATTACAACATTTCTGATTATTATCATATTGAAAACAATATCATGCTTAGGTGTGCTGCTTCATATTTTGGTTGAAACCGTGATGCATTTTATTGTCCAGGATTCTTTGATGAATAGAAAGTTCAAAAGAACAGCATTTATTTGAAAAAGAAATCTTTTGTAACATTATAAATGCCTTTATTTTCACTTTTGATCAATTTAATGCATCCTTTGTTTGTTTTTACTTATCCTAGGCCATTTTTACAATACGAAGCAGCTTAACTGTTTTTGACATTGATAATACAAATAAAACTGTTAATTGAACTGTTAAATAAAGATTTTAAAATGCAGGCTAAGTGTCACTAATTAAACCAGTATATGTTCAGGGAATTGTCAGTCTCTTACATGTGTGCTTCTCATAATTAGTGAATATGTATATAAACAGCCTTTTAATTAACAGCGTAGAATAATCATGGCTGATAGTAAGACATGCAAACGTAAAAGAAAACCAAACTGGACGCAAGAACATCTGTTACTTGTCCAGCTGCTTAATGAATGGATATAATCAAAGGAAAATTTGGAGTTGGGATAACCTCCAAAAACAAAGGTGATATATATATGAAAGCTCATTATAGTTAGATGTTTCTATTCTGAGGCAGATTGCAAGCAACAGCCATGTTAGGATAGTTTGTGGCTTGGTCTTAGGGACTTAGGAGTCCTCTTCACTACTAATGTTTCGCAGATTTAGGAGCTAGTTTTAGAGCTGAAACACTTTTAGGAGTCCTAAATATAGGACTGACACGCCCATTATTTTTAAGATTTTCTCCTTAATCGGCGAGTTATGAGCTACTTTTAGCCTTAAGATGTTTTGTGAATATGGGTCCTGTTGTGTGTTTTCCTTTTTTTCTTCTTTTTTTTTGCATTTAATTTTAAGTTTAATTACATTTTAATAATAATGTCTAATCATGGAATTCATAAAGCTTTAGCAATGTATTAAAATTGTAACAATAATATTGCCCTATGAAATGTTTTATCTTTTCATAAATGCAGTTTTATTATCTAAAACGGTGCTAATTATATTAATGCATAAAACTTATTTAATTAATCTTTTAACTGCAATCAAATGTAAATTTAACAATTCCTTTTTTTGGCAAACAAAGTGCTGCACAACAGAGGTTTACGGTTTAAATTAAAATGCACGAAGAAATGTGTTATTCCTTAAATAGTGTTTTAATGTTTTACTTAAGAGAAGTATATTCTACTGTACGACAGTAATATGTCTGTGTCATCATTTATTAAAGTTTGACAGAACCTTTATTTTGGCAGGTTGTAGTGAAGATCTTTGAGTTTTAGTGTGTTTCTGACAATAGTTTTTCTCAAATGAATTGGTCAAATGGTGGTGAAGTGGCTCTCAGAGCAGCTCTGGAGATGTTCATGTGTTCATATTTTAAGACGAGCATCACGCAAGCTTCAATATGTGTAGTAGAGCAAACTGAGACATGCATAACATGCAGACTTCAGATTTACATTGCAGTCCTTCTGCGCTTTGGATGGTTGACCGGTCGGTCGGTCGACCTCTATTGCTGACACTTAAATTAATTATTAGTTAATTATGAATTAGTTATTAATGTATTTTGAATGCAAAGGGTGCTTTATTTTTTCAAAAAAAGAATACTTATTTGATATGCATGTTAAGTATGTTTATTAAAAACAAGTTTTGTAATAACCAATTGTTCCGATCCGGTCCTTTGTTGGCACTGATTAAAATTCAGATTTGGACCTTTGAATGTAGACTTTGCGAACTCCTGGTCTATTTTGCTAAATTTTTACACACTGTTTATTTATTGGCCTATTTATCTATTTATTTCTATTTTTCTATTTATTGATATTTATATATTTGTTGAGATTTGACTATTTATTTATTTATTTTGATAATAAAACTTTATAGTTTTTATACTTACCCATACTTACCTGGTGTATTTACCTGGATTCACCATACTTACCCGTAGGCTTAGCTTGTAAATAGTATTAATACTAGAGGTGTGTAATAGTTTATAATACTACTCGAGAGACGTATCACCAGAACCAGGTGCTCCTAACAGAGCCGTAACTCTTGAGAGGGCAGGGAGCGCTACATTCTACTAAATACTGAGCAAAGGGTCTGAATACTTAGGACCATGTGATATTTCAGTTTTTCTTTTTTAATAAATCTGCAAAAATGTCAACAATTCTGTGTATTTCTGTCAATATGGGGTGCTGTGTGTACATTAATGAGGAAAAAAAATGAACTTAAATGATTTTAGCAAATGGCTGCAATATAACAAAGAGTGAAAAATTTAAGGGGGTCTGAATACTTTCCGTACCCACTGTATATATATATATATATATCATTAATTTGTGGCCACTGTCCGTGTTTCATGAATTTGTTCCCTAGAAAACCCATGATTTAAAAGTGCCATAGAATGCATTGATACAATATTTTCAATTGTTCTCTGATATCTACATAGAAGGTATGTGGCTTAGATAAGGGCAAAAAATCTCCAGAAACGGTTTTACATGACCATTTACAACCCTAGGATTTGTCCCTAGAATGAAATGGTCTGTTTTTACATTATTTGGGAGGGTCATGAATAATAATGTTGAGCTCTGCTCTGATTGGCTGTTTCACAGTGCGGCTCATTTCAGTAGCTCACACAGCAGGAAGGAAACACAGGGAAAATATATATATTTCAGTACTTTCTCTCAAAGAAAGTAAAGTGTAATGATCCCAAACGTAACTACGGTGGCTCTCTTAATTTGATCAAATGATCATAATCATTTTACAATCCTGCTACTAGCCTTTTATTTAGACTAAAAACCCCTTTAATTCGGGTGAGGAAGCTGGCGTTTTGAGTGGCATTTGCCAGTGACTATATGCTACTTCAATAGACGCATTTTGCAGTATTAAGGTTAACGATTAATCGATTGATTAGTTTAAATGACGATCGATCATGAAAATAATCGAACATTGACATCCCTAGTCAGAATGAGTCCAAACAGCTGATAAAACATCACAATAATCCACAAGTAACCCACACCACTCCAGTCCATAAGTTAACATCTTGTGAAGCCAAAAGCTGTGTTTGTAAGAAACAAATTCAACTTCAAACTGTTGCTTCCTGCGAAAATCCATTATAACGCTTCCTCCAGTGAAAAAGTTAATCTCTTGTTGTCTCTTACTTCAAAATCAACCTACTTATTTATATAGAACTGTCTGGGCTTGTAAACGGTGTTTGATCTGTACATATTTCTCTCCTGATTCAGACGAGACAACTTTTTCTTTGGCAGAATTATTATTATGGATGTGTTTTTGAACTATTCAAAATAAATAAACAGAGCCTTTAAGAGTTCAAATGCTCAGAAATGATGCACAGAGAATATCCTTCCGTTTGCACGTCATTGCAAGAGTACCTTATTTTTGTCGTGTGTGTGAGTGATGGGCATGTGATCACACCGACTCACTGATCCTCTCTTCTCTCCACAGCGTCTTTAAGCAGCCTGTTGATCACCCCGTTTCCATCACCGGGCTCCTCTCTCACCAGCAGCTGTGCTAGTAGCTACCAGCGACGCTGGTTACGCAGCCAAACCACCAGCCTGGAGAACGGCGTCTTCCCTCGATGGTGCGATTGCAACACACTCGTGCACACACTGTGTCCACAGCTAGCATTGGGCGATAGGACCAAAAGTTTAAATGACGATATAAGATAATTTTTTTCACCTTAATATGTCACAGTAGATATATTTCCCCGAAATAAGGTTGTTACAATAGCAAAATATTAAGATATCACAGCTAAACAAATACAATAAAACAATGATACAAATGCTTTAATCTATCAGAAATAAGAACTACTACAGAAACTGAATAAAAAAATGTCAAAATAAAACACTGCATAGTTCTCACTGTATAAATGAAATATACGATTTTGCAAGAGATTCAGTCAAAAGCAGCGAGGGATTTTTCTCTTGTCTTTCAATGTTTGATGAACATTAATGACACAAAATGATGCACAATTTGATTGTTCGCGTGTCTCCCAACTGTTTACATTCATTTAACAGACATAACTGACTCTGATGATCAGTTTGACATTTTTGTGCGTTTTTGACTGAAACAGATTTCATTACTCGGACGCTGTGTGAGCGGCTGCTTTATGGGCACTCTCAGACTCAGCATGAGTACAGAGAAGGTCTCTTTCACATCTCGTAGCGTTTTAATAGTTTTCAATCACTGGCTAGGCTTAAAAATGCATGCAAATGTAAACTGATTGTGCAACAATTGTATGATTATGCAACATTGCATAAAATTGCATCGTTAAGTGTAGCCGAGACGTTTCTATCAGTATATCACCTACTTCTATAATTACAGCAGATTTTTCTTTCATCAGGACCTTCACTTAACACATGCAAACTTAAGAGAGAAATGTAGAAATGACAAACAGTAGTGAAGACTCATTAGTGCGTTTAAATGTCAGTGTGAGACTCTTTTCACCCGCTCACATTTCCCTGTGTAATCCAGTGGTGTGGTTGCGTTCTAGGTCTGTGGAGGAGAGCTTCAACATGTCTGACGAGAACGGTGGGCCGAGTTTGGGCGTTGCCAGGAAGAAGAAGATCGCTATTGGTGTCATCTTCCTGCTCTCGTCCAACGACGAAGAAAACGCCAAGTTCCAGGACTTTTTCTTCTCTCACTTTCCTCTCTTTGAGAGTCACATGAACAAACTCAAAAGTGCCATTGAGCAGGTTAGACATGATTTGTGTTTTTGTGGTTTGCCGTCCCCCTGTGTCATCTGTTGCGTCTCTATTACAGTGTGTGTTTTTGGCTCTCTGTTTGTTTGAAGGCTATGATACTGAGCCGCAGGTCAGCTGATGCCAGCCAGAGAGCTTTGGCTTACAGTCGCATGGTGGACGGCCTCAGTGAGTTTAGGTGAGTTTGTGGTGACACGTCTGTGGACGCTGCTCACCAGGTGTTTTGTTATTTGCATCCTCTAAAAGTCCAGCCAAGGTTTACTGGACACTTAATCCACTCATGTGACATGAGACACGCCACTGATCTGAGGGCGCTTTCACATGCAATGACTTTGTGTCCAATCCTAATGAATGCCTCTGGAGGCATTGCTGGAAATTTCCTGCTGCTGCACTGAGCACGGTGACCTTTGACACGATTCACACGATAACTCTCGTATCATGTTCAGGTCAAACAGAAGCATAATGCATTCAAAGAAATAAAAACAAAAGTCAACCTGTCAATCAAACTAGAGGTGTCACATTTTTTGTCATTATGAAAAGGCATTGTTTTCATGCTTCCTATGATCTAAGAGTAATAAGCCTTGTTCAGACTGTCAGTCCAAACACTGATTTTGTGCATATCCTATTGAAATCCGGTTTAAATTACTTACTGTCCACACTGTGTATCGCAACTGTTCAGATCTGATTTGTGTGTCCCGTGGTGCTCTTTCATTTTATTGAATCCAATCTGAGTAGTCAGACTGAAAATGATTTCCAGGAATGTGATTTGAATAGGATTTCAAAACTCATTAAAAATCTGATTTTATGTGATGTATTATTTATTTTTTTTGCCTTTCACACTTGTTAAATATGATCGGATATGGACAAAAATCAGATCTGGACTTCGTCTGAACAAGACTATATTGACTTCAACTATATTTGTATGTTGATTCTCCTAAAAGACAAACATTGTATCCCTGCGGCGCCATCAGAACATTGATCTGTTAGTTTGACCGAACTGTTCAAAAACTGCAGAAATTAAACTCTTTTGTTGTAACAATCAGTTAATTGATTAACCGTGAGGAGTTTCTCATTTATTAGCATCAGTTAATAAATAAATAGGAATGGAAAATCATGTGCACATCTTGTTTTTTTTCACCATTTAAACTTAGTTCTATTTAGTATAAGCTTTAAACTGACTATTAATTTATTACTGTTAAATAATAATGCTTATAAATAGGAGCAGAATTATTAATAGTATTGAAAAGAGCATATAACATCTTGCAAAGGAACTGTGCAGAAGGCCGTGTGAGCTTGTGCTTCAGTCCTGGTCTGTGTAAAATAAGCACGGTCCGTGTCAGTGCTTCAGAGGTGATCCACTATGCACCCTCTCATACTTCCAAGTCATATGCTTGTTGGTCCGCGGCCAGAGCAACCTGACCCCAGTGCCACAGAAACCTTATCTCCCTCACACACTGTCAGGACAGACTAGAATAGTCAATAATGTGCAAGTGAACAGACAAACAAATATTTCAGATTTCCCACCTCCAGCGGGATAATAATACACATTGGCGTTCATCCTCGGGGTTGTGAAGTCAGAGATCTGAAATGATGAAGCTGTACATCAGTGTGTGATGTTTTGATTGTGAAAATCAGTTGGTCAATAATCAGCTGTTCACATTTTAATTAAGACGGGATCAAATAAAAAAAAAATACAGTAAGAATAGACTTTACTCAATATAAATTTAATATAGTGCTCTTTTACATGCAGCAGTATAACAAAAAACTTTGAGTAGTGTCACAAACGAATCCTTAACTAATTCATTGGACCATTTTTTGCTTGTTTAGTTCTGTTAAATCTTCTAGTGTACCAATGACATTTATCATCATTTTAATATTTTGTAATATATAGTAAGGTTTTATAACACTTGAAGGTGTGTTATATTGTGAATTCCTCTAATACCGTATTGCTTAAATAATCACCCAGGCCTGATTTTAAGTGATGAACGTTTAGCGTGTCGTGTTCTGTCAGTCCTCATTTCAGGTTCTAGGTTTGTGAAAGTAGACCTCAGAGCTTCATAACTCCTACCTAATCCAGTGCTAAAACAGTTCTGTCTGTCTGTTAGCTGCTGTTGCATGATGCTTTTTATAGGTCACTACACACTAACTTCAGTACTGGGAAGTATAGTACATCTTGGGAAGAGAGTTTATTGTCGTTTTTTTCCCAAGTGTCAGGTTATTGGCAACACACTCGGGAGTTTGTGCAAACAGCTGCATTTTTCCCATTGCCTAATCAGCATGAGTATTGCTTGTAATGGTAAACAACGTTGCTCCGTTGCAGATTAGTGTCTCTGATGGCATCCAGAGATTTGCTTTGCGTGTAATTAAGTGGAGAAAGCGCGCTAGTTTTGCAGAAGCAGTCCTCGTGACTCTGCAGACTTTCCTGAACTCCTACCATTTCGAGTAGCATCTGGGTGTTAAGCTCTGGACCACGGCCAATGCTCCCGGGCTGCGTGACATTTGCAGAAGTTAAATATGCTGCAAAGGTCTTTCCCAGCTGGGGCAGCCCTGTGCAACTGAAGCGTTCTTTGTTTAAACTGTTGACAAAAGCTCTTCTGTCTTTGTGTGCGGATGCCCTGTAGGACGACCATCTGCAACCTGTACACCATGCCACGTGTGTCTGAGCCTGTCTGGCTCACCATGATGTCGGGTCCACCTGAAAAGAACCAGCTTTGTGGCCAGTTCATGAGGGAGCTGGCCCTGCTCATGGAGCAAGCCTCCAAGAACCAGTTGAGTAACGTCACACATAATCCTCAAGCCATCAAACGCCCTTGATAAGAGTGAATGTAGCCATGTTCTCGCTTGCTTTGTCTGTTGCCTTTAGATTCCTCCCGGCACTTCTTACTGCGGTTCTCACTAACCATCTCGCCTGGGTTCCCACGGTCATGCCCAACGGTCAACCACCAATAAAGATCTTCCTGGAGAAGCACTCCTCACAGAGCGTGGACATGCTGGCGAAAACACATCCCTACAACCCACTTTGGGCACAGCTTGGTAAATGACGCATGCAAGAATGCAAAAATGTGTGCATTTCGCCACCTAGTGGAGTGTTGATGGAAATGACTTGCCACAGTGCACTGTAGAGCAGAGTTCTTTCTGGAGCCACCACAACAAATACACATTTTGGATATTTCTGGTCTCTACTGAGCTGATAAGCAGGTGTGTTTGCTTAGGAAGAGTTTGAATGTGTGTAGTGTTGGGGTGCCTCTAGGAACAGGGTTGGGTAACATTGCATTTGAACAGGAGTCTTCAGTCCTGCTGTCCTGCAGCTTTAACCTGAATCAAACACACCTGAAGCAGCTAGTCAAGGTCCTCAGGATTGCTTGAAAATCACAGGCAGGTGTGTTGAAGCAGTAGTCAGGGCACAGTCTTAATCGCTATATCCCTGGAACATCCACTCCCTAAAACTCCCACAATGCACCACAAGAAACAGGGAGCATCAATGCTCATGACACTTAAAAAATATATATAAAGGTTCTTTATTGGCATCTATATGGTTCCATGAAGAACCTTTAAAGCAGTGGATCCCAACCTGGGAGTCGTGACCCCCACTAGGGGTCGCTGAAGATTTGCAAGGGTCACTGAGCTCTTTGCAGTTTGAGGGTTACAAATAGAAATGGTTGCAGTTTGAACAACCCATGATAAATACAGCCTAGGTTTTGTTTTGTGTAAAACTACGGCAGAAGACTGGATTTATGGATTTACTGGATGAATGGATTTACAGAGGAAAATAATCTAAATTTAAAGTATGAATTAATCTCTGAAGGGAACCAAGGGAGACAGGACTAATCCTGGCATTATATCAGACATACAGCACAAACGACACCCTCTTATTTCCAGTGTTGGGTAGATTACTTATAAATTGCAGTCTGTTACTGTTTACAGATTACATGATGAAATTTGTAGTTAGTAACTTAATCTAGGTTACTCATTTGAGGTCATGTATTCTAACTACTTTTTACATAACTTGTTTTAAACTTACCATTAAATGTACCATTTTGATATTAAAAAAAGCAAAGAAAAAAAAAATTCCATTATTTTAATGAGTTAATGTTAGAACTGCAGTTCAAACTCTATAAAAAAAGACAAATTAGAGAGAATCAGAAAATTCTGAATATTTTACTGCCATTTTATGAATAATATGTAAGTTAAGTAACTAATCTGATTAGGAGCATTTTAAAATGTAATGTAATCCAGTTACTTTTTTATAATCTGATTACATGTAATCCATTACTACCCAGCACTGCTTATTTGTTTCCTAGCAAATGTGTAAGAATTGTTTTGGTTAATAATGTTGTTATTGTTGCAGGTGACCTGTACGGGGCAATCGGCTCACCTGTGCGTCTGTCCCGTACGGTGGTGGTTGGCAGACGACAGGAGCTGGTGCAGCGTCTTCTCTATGTGTTGACCTACTTCATCCGCTGCTCGGAGTTACTAGAAACACACCTGCTGGAGAGCGCCGAGGACGAGGCCATCGTGATGCCCGGCTCGCTCATCACCACGTCGCTACGCCGCGGAGAGGTGGAGGAGTCCGACTACGTGCTGGTCACCATGCACAAGCCGAGCCAAGACTACCTGTCCCAGGGTGCAGAGGGAGAGGACGGCTACCCGTCTGATGACAACAGCTTACAGGGCAGCACATACATAGACACAGAAGCCCCAGACGAGCACAAGCGTCCGCATCCCGCCACACCAGAGGCAGACCGTATCAGTGACGCGCCTGTCTGCAGAGAAGCAGGGAGCCCACGGCTCGAGACTCGACTGGAAACCGTGGTGAAAGTCGGCTCCAACTCGCCGTGCGAGAGAAGACCCTCGCTCGAGATTCAAGGGGACGTGCGGCCCGAGGTGGAGTCTGGTGGCATGCCCATCAGGATCTTCCATTCATCAGATATCCTGCTAGACAAGAAGCCCCCTGACAAGAGCTTTGATAACGCCGGGAATGAGCCCTCCGCTAAAGTCACATTCCTCATCGGAGACTCGATGTCTCCTGAATCTGACATGGAGAGTCGACAAAAAAAGGTGGAGGAGGAGATCAAGAAACACAAGAAGCTTCTCAAAGACAACCAGCAGAAGCAGTGTAACGGCGAGGCTAAACTCCAAGTGGACCAAATAAAGACCAACGATAGCAAGACTAGAACTAGAAAGACGTCTCAGTGGTGTCCGAAAGTGCAAGGCGACTGCATGGACATGTTTGACGAGTATTTCAGTGATGACAATCCTGTGGAGACGAGGACTATTGATGATGTCTACCAAACGGAGATGAAAGGTGCAGGAAACAATGCCCCACGGTTGGACAATGACGGGTGTGAGTGCGACGCAGGAGAAACCTGCTGTAAAACCTGCTGTTCTGCCGAGCAGGACAAGGGCATCGAGATGTCGTTGAGTGTCCCTTCACAAGGCACCGCTGGGGAGAAAAAGAAAGCAGTCCCGCTGAACGACTGGGAGATCCCACGCAATGAGAGCTCGGACAGCGCGCTGGGGGACAGCGAGAGCGAGGACGCCGGACAGGAGCTGCCCAGGCAAGAGCCTGATGGGCTGTTCTATGCTGAAGAGCAGGCCGACTGGCAGGATGAGCTCGAGGTGCCTTTACCCGGGTGAGCGGAGATCGGTTATCAGAACTAGTGATCGACCGATATATCGCTAAAGCAGATATATCGGCCGATATATGGCATTTTTCAAATATCGGCATTGGCCGATAGGTTTTTCTGTTTGGCCGATGCGTTCGAGTCGGGACTTTTATTTTGACGACGCTGAGACTGGCAGCACCTGAGCACACAGTGCTCACATTCTCCCTCTTGTTCGCCGTCGTCTTTAACAGTTCTGTCTAAATACGGATAGAAGTCTTTCTAATAATCAGATAGAACGGTTAAACAGGAATTAAAATGTATACAGAAAGTATTATAACGATTGCTTTTATATTATTAGTAATAGAAAGGCAAACATTATAATAATTTCTCGTTTGCCGTCAGCATTCAGCAAATATGCATTTATATCATTTGAACAAATCTTTGAATGGCTAATGAAAATGTAATTTCACAAACCTTGCAAAATTAGTCGAATCCAGTTGTGAGATCTTGTGAAGTGTGCATTTGTATCCTGCATGATTGCGTGCTCTCTGTGTGACGGTCGATCCGTGTGAATTGAATGCTTTAAAGTCTAAACATTAAATTCGTGATTTCTAATTATGCTGTGCTTTATGCATTTGCCCACTGTCGTATTCATGTCATTTTCACTGTGTGCTGTATGTAAAATGAGAGTTACCATGGCTTTATTTGAAAAAAATTATTCCCTATGCACACAATCTTCCCAGAATACTGAATGCTGTTGGTTACAGTTTACTTCCTTTTTTTTAAATTATATTTTTATTAAATATTTATTTATTTGTGAAAAATACTTTGTCATCTAAAGTATAAGTATGTTTATTTTACAAATGTATTTTTTAATCCATTTTCAAATTATTTCAAATTTCTTAAATATTAATTAAAATAAATACAATTATATTGGCTTTATATCGGCCACCCTGCTTTCCAAGATATCGGCATCGGCTGTCAAAAAACCAATATCGGTCGACCACTAATCAGAACCATCTGTTTTGTTTGGCTTGTGGGCTGTATTTGGGCTGGGCGCTTTATCTATCAATATATTTTGTATAAACAATATGGAATGAGGCAATACCGTTTATATTGATATACATTTAAATTTACATTGTCATTTAGCAGATGCTTTTATCCAAAGCGACTTACAAATGAGGACAATGGAAGCAATCAAAATCAACAAAAGAGCAATGATATGCAAGTGTTATGACAAGTCTCAGTTAGTTACCTTTTTTGCTTTTTGTTAATTGTATAATCAATAAAAGAAAACAAATAGATAGAATACAAAAAGAATAGAGACGCTAGTGTTAGTTTTTATTTTTTAAAGAAAACAAGCAGTTATTAAATAAATAGAGTGCAAATCTAAAAGGGGCAATTTAAAAAAAATTTTAAGAATAGAATTAGATTAGAGAGTGCTGGAGTTAGAGGGTCAAATAAAGATGGAAGCGATGTGTTTTAAGCCGATTCTTGAAGATGGTTAAGGACTGATAGGGGTAAATATGACGGCACGTTATCTAGCATTCTGCCCGCTTCAAATCAGACAAAGATGAAATAGTGTGGTAAGATCACATTTATTTGAATGAATTATAGATCAAGAGAGAGTAAGAGAGAGATGACCATTGTGTGTGCGTTTCCTGCATGCTGCGTCTGCGTGTCTCTCTCTACAAACAATTAATTACTTCAAAAACAGTGATTTTACCACCTCATTGCTGAGGAATATAAAATAGCGATCTAGTATCAAGGCAGTTTTATTAATAAAAATCACGGGGAAGCGATGACAACAAGTTTATTTGTGTGCGCAGCGCAACCTGCAATCTCTGACTCTCTCTCTGTCTCTGTCTCTGTCTGTCTCTCTGTTTTGGCCACATCACCCAGCCCTAGTCCGTACGTTATAAATATTGGTAATAAACAAGGTTATGTGTTTTCTAGGGCGAAGCTGGTGGAGAACTACTCTAAACCAAGCATTGCCAACTTTGGGAGGTCGCTCTTCGGAGGATACTGTCCTACGTACATCCCAGACTTTGTTCTGCACGGAGCCCCCAATGATGAGAAACTGAGGCAGAACCTCGTGTCGGATCTGGCCCATGCTGTGCAGGTAAATACCTCCTCCAACAGGTCACCAAGCACTTGATGAAGGGTCTGTTAAAATTGATAATCTTCTATAATGACAATTATTGGCAACAAATTTGATTATCAACTAATCACATCTGTGCCAGGGTTATTTTAGTTTACAATACTAAAATGAAAACCATGGGGAAAAAAATAATTACTTGAAATAAAAGAAAATATAAAAAATGTTTTATTTCAGCTAGTTGCCATACAGTGCAAGGCATCATTTCTCATTTTTATTTAGTTTAAATTGTACTAAATAACTAAAAAACTAAAATTGAAAAACAAGAAAAAGAATTATATAGAGATTTGTTTTTCTTTTAAGATTTTCAAATTCGTTTTAATTTAACGTGTACTTTATAAATGGTAAGCAATCAGTTGTTTTGTGGTTCACAATGTAATGTTTATATTTTAACCCTATTTTGCCAAGTTTAATAACTAATCAATAGATTAAGCAGTTATCAACATAATTGTTAGTTACAGCCTTACATACGATCCCCAAACACTACTGTTAATCATCATCACAAACTACTTTTACCATGGGACCCTCTCGTGTGAAAAAGAGTCCCATACATCCCACCTACAGCACTTGAGTGTCGCTGAGAGTCCTAAATGAACAAAAATCTTGTGTGTAAATAATGTGTAAAGTGTAAATTGATATGAGCTGAATTGTTGTTGTGCAGCATCCTGTGCTGGATGAGCCCATCGCGGAGGCCGTCTGCATTATCGCAGACACCGATAAGTGGAGCGTGCAGGTGGCCAGCAGCCAGAGACGATCCTCCGACAAGCTGGGCAAAGAGGTGCTCGTGTCCAACCTCGTGTCCAACCTGCTCCAGTCCACCTACCAGCTCTACCGACTCAACCTGTCTCCAAACTTCGTGAGTGCAACTTTCTCACGCTGCTTCTGCTCTATTTATTGCTCTATTGCTCTATTTATTTCTGGGGAAGTCGTGGCCTAATGGTTAGAGAGTCAGACTCGTAACCCAAAGGTTGAATGTACAGCGCTCTCTCCCACCTTCAATACCACGACTGAGGTGCTCTTGAGCTGAAGGAGCAGGAGGAGTCAGTGCTGTATGTTGGCATGAAGTCTGTATGGTTTGTGACACAAGCTGTTCTCTCGCTCTTGTTTTCAGTGTATAATGCATCTGGAGGACCGGCTGCAGGAACTCTACTTCAAGAGCAAAATGCTGGCCGAGTACTTGAAAGGACAGACCAGGGTGCATGTGAAGGAGCTGGGCATGGTTCTAGGGTAAGAATTCATGTGTCTTTCTACAAGTTGTAATTAGTGGTCGACTGATATATAGGCCGATATTTGGCTTTTTTTTTTTTTTAATTATCGGCATTGGCCAAGAAGTTTTTTCTCTTTGGCCATTATGTTGGACTTTTATTATGACAGCACACTAATGAGAACACTAGGGCCAGAGTGCATGAAGATCCCATTATTTTACAGTCCCTGTTTAACCGTTTGACTGACTGAGGAATTATTACACAGAACTTTATACAAAGTAAGTGGTATATGGAAAAAGTGTATGGAGTTTGCTTTTTATTACAATACTTTCTCATCTAACGTCAGGATTCAGCAAATACACATTTCATTTAAACAAGTCTTTGAATATCTAATAAACGTTTCATTTCACCAGTCTTGCAAACTTTATGGAATTCAGCTGAGAGATCATCTGAAGTGTGAATAAAAAGGACTGAACTCCGTGTTTAACAGTCGGTCTGTGAGAAATAAACACAGGCAGGAGAGTTCAGCTGTCACTCATTTTTAAATTATATAAATATTATGTAAAAATACATTTCATTTCAGTAATTGTTTTACATGTGTTTTTACTGTTTTTAAATTAATAAATAGTGTGATAGCATATAAATCGGCCACCCTGAAAAGGTCCACACTGAGTTTGCGTTTTTTCGTCATTCAAAAAATTTGTCATGCATAGAAACCTTGCACACTGAGTCCGGTGCGTATTAGCACCTGCAGGATAAACCGTTGTGAAAAAATTCACAAAACGGAGTCTTCAAGCAGTGAGGATGATTTTGTTCTTCTCTCTCTTCTTAAAAAGAAAAAATTTGAAAAAATATTGGGCGCATCCAATCCTGAGATTGCACAGAGAGAGTTTCCACCTCCTTACCAAGGAGCTTCAGGATTATCCACAGCCATTCAAAGTTTACTTCAGGATGTCAGTGGCTCAGTTTGATGCTTTGCTAGCAATACTGGAGCCACATATTAAAAAGAAGACCACCAATTTGCTGTGTGCTGTTGAAGTGGATCAAGCGGATATTGGCGTTCACTTGTACGGTGGATGTGAATTGTCAAAACACCTCTGAAAACGCTTGCTACGGATGCAGAAAATGTTAATATTTTTATGACAGATGAAAGTTTCGGAAGCAGTGTGTAAACGTGTCGTTTTTATTTTTTAACGTGCGAAAATTTGGGACGAGAATTTCGGACTTAAAGGGTTAGTTCAGCCAAAAAGGAAAATTCTGTACTCTCACATCTGTCTGATCAGTGTAGTGTAGTACGCACGGCTCTCACATCTGTCTGATCAGTGTAGTGTAGTACGTACGGCTCTCACATCTGTCTGATCAGCGTAGTGTAGTACGCACTGGTCTCCAGCAGCAGTTGGTCTGTGGATGTTGTTGAGGCGGCTCGGGGCTGAACTGCAGTCATGGGCTGTCGCTGGACGCTTCTGCTCGGAGGATCTTATGAACCTCCGATTATTTATGATGTTTCACCGTCACGAATGGAGAAACTTCCCCGGAATGAAGGCTTGTTTTTGGTCAACTTTGGCTGTTTCTGATTCGCGCCTCCCTTCATCAGCACTTTCAACAGTTCACTTCACATGCTAACCGAAGCTAACTCAAATCAGCGCCAGATTCCCCGGACTCTGCAAGAGATCAGTGACATTATTTATTTGATTACGTTTCACTTTTATATTTTACTTCATCTTATCGACACGCGTGAATATATGAAGTTTTTATATCCCGACATCAGAGAGTTTAATATGAATTCCTCCGTGGATTTATCGCTGAAGAAAGCGCTGAGAACTCCTCCGACACGACGCAGTGCTGAGGTAAACACACAGAAATACCCTTTCACTACAGATATTACTACAATAACCACTTTAGAGTGTCTATAACTGGCGCTAAACTGAAATATCAGCACAGCGAAGCTTATTAGTTTCGATTCAGGACTCATTAAGTAAGTTAACGTTAAGTTACGTTACTCGTGCTCGATATATATTTGACTGTAGCTGTTTTATTGATTTGTTTGGGGTCTCTAAGTGATGTTTTAAAAAGCAAAAATGTATGAGGTTATGTCGTATAATGAGAGATGTTCAGCTGCTTCACAGACTGATTCTCAGTGAAGTAAAACTGCAGTTATCGATCAGTAAACATTAGCTTAAAGTTTGAACATTTCAAAGAAGTTTCAAGTGTCTCAAGTCATTTATTAATGACCGAAATCAATGAAACTTCACTGCATTCCAGCGGTGCAGCCGCGGGCTGTGTCTCAAATCCTAGTGAGCTGACTAACTAGACATCGACTAATCTTCAGGGGAAGTTGCTAAATGACGTTGTGATGGCATTGCGTGATGACGTCATTACGTAAGCACGACGCAAAATTGTCAAATCTCAGCAAAAACATATATATATATATATTATATATGTTAATTTAGATTTGTTCGTAGCAATATCAATGCATGATATTAAAATATAAATAACTATTTTTTAAATCCATCGAATTATCGAAAACGTACACACTTTTGAACGATTACGATGGAAGTTTTATACTTTAAAGCAGTGTATTAGTAGTTAGTTAGGATGCTGCACTCTAAGAAAAGGTAAACAAATAATGCACAATCTACTGTGTTAATGTGAAGGAGTTTTCTGGATTGAGTTTTGCACAGGTTTTTGTACCTGCATTTTTAATTACGCGTTGTATTTCGTGTTTTCGGGTGATAACGGATAATGTCCTGGAAAGTTACTCGCACCTTTTCCATTTTTCTGCATATGTTTCTTACAGTGTACTAACTCCTCAACAATCACAGGTACAAGCTACTAACAAAGTGTCTCATAAATGAAAAATAACAGTATTCAGTTATTATTATTATTACTCTTAAACCATTGCAAATAGCAGCTAACTTAATTCCTGTAACGTGTGTACTGCTGGGCATCTTTGGGTTCCTCTTTTTGTGTCATTTAAATGGTAAATTGTGCCTTTTTATCGTTTGAGTCACTTAGCGAAAGTTGCTAAGAGCTGCCAAATAAGTTTTAAAAAATAGCTAAATTTGTTGCTAGGTGCTTTTGGAAGAGAAAGTTGCTAGGGTAGTCTGAAAAGTTGCTAAATTTAGCAACAAAATTGCTAAGTTGGCAACACTGCATCCACTAGCATTGTCGAAACAAACCTAACGTTACTCAAATAGTGCGTGCACTGTGAGGTGATTCACTGAAGAAAACAGCTGAGCAACACTACACAGACTAGTTTAGACTTTCACATTGAAATGTAGGTGGCTTTTAAGAAAACAGCTTTTTGCCTGCTTGATTAAATGTTTATTTTTTGTTATTTGCAGAGTAAGTCTGGGTCATGGTATTAAAAGCATGTTGTAAGTTTGGCCTAAGACAGGCTCAATATCAGTTCAAAGTGCAAAGGTTTGTTTTATTACAGAGCTCAACAATAAGATTTATTAATAGCCAATAATTGAGATGTTCACTTGCCCTGCCAAAATGATGACAGGGTTTCTGTGGGTCCTAAAAAAGTCTTAATTTGCCCTTCCACAAATCCAGGCCTTAAGTCAAGTCAAGTCTGCTTTATTGTCAATTCTTCCACATGTACAGCACATACACACAGAGAATTGAAATTACGTTACTCTCAGCCCCTTGGTGCATACAGATAACATAAATACAGATTAAATACAAATATACAAATAAGGTAAAAATGTAAAAATATATATATAAAGCACAAGGCATATGGCAGATAGGTCTTCAATCAGAGCAGAAAGTCTTAAATTCATTAAGTCATGGCATTAAATGTTGCATGCACTGCAATGAACGAATATCATCCAAGATTTCTTTCTTATGTCATTTTGCTTCTCAAGTAAATGTATCTTGATTTAAGAATCTTTACTGATAAAAAACAATACATTTTTGCAGTGTAATCAAAAGGCAGAGTAAAAGTTATTTCCATATTCTAGTCGTTGGGATCAGAGCTATTCAAGCCTAAAGCTATTTCTTTTAGTAAGATGGTGTAAAAAGTATTTTCAAACTTTGAAGTGTTGCTAATACAACTCATTGTGTACACTATAGAAATGTCCATTTAGAGACTTTTGACGTATTGTGTTCCCTTCAGTTCATTCCTTAAATGTCTTGGTCTTAAAAGGTGTTTAAAAAGTCTTAAATTTACCTTCATAAAACATTTTTGTGAATTCAAATAATTTGTTTCTTTACAAAAATCTGGAAATGATCTATATTGCAACTACATCAATTTAATAAAATGGGTGCAAACACTGGTATGTAGTTTTCAGCATAACCTTAAAGGGGTCATATGATGCGATTTCAATTGTTCCTTTCTCTTTGGAGTGTTACAAGCTCTTGGTGCATAAAGAAGATCTGTAAAGTTGCAAAGACTAAAGTCTCAAATCCAAAGAGATATTCTTTATCAAAGTTAAGAGTCAGCCACACCTACCTAAAACGACTCGTTCTAACTCGCCCCCACATGTCTACATCACTATGTGGGAAGATTTGCATAACGCCGCCCAAATGTTCACGCAAAGAAAGAAGGTGTAACTTTTATTCTCGCTGTAGTATTGTTGCTGCCGCCGCCACTATGTCGTAAAGACGCTGTGTGCTTCGTTGTGAAAGTGAAACTACTTAGTTTGGTCTTCCAAAAGAGGACAATATCTGCTTCGTCATGCCTAGAGCTGATCTGTGCTGGTCGCGTGAGAAATACATCAACTTTGGGCTGTGGATCGCCGGATCGGCTTTCACCGTGGACGAAGCGGAGTCCAGCCCGGAGTCATCACATGTCCTTCCGGACGCTCCTTCGTCGAAATTACTGGCCACGCCGTTCTCAAGCCCGCCGCTTCCGCTCACGCTATCCCGGCCTCAGCGCACGCTAAGCTGGGGCTTCTGCTCACGCTAGGCCGCTGTGTTTTTTGTTGTGAAAGTGAAACTACTTTGTTTGGTCTTCCAAAAGAGGACACGATTAGAAATCAGTGGTTAAGTTGTATTTACAGCACTGTTCCAGAACAGTTTAACCCAAATATCCAGATGTGTGCAGCACATTTTACGAAGGACTGTTTCCTGATCCTGGGAGAGTAACGTTAGACTAAAATGCCGGCAGTTCTGACTCTCAGTCTGTAAGTACGTTTTCATTGAAAGTATTTGCCACTGATGATTCATACGCGAGTTTTGGGCAGTGTAGAGTAGCACTTGTTGTTTGTCATTTCTCTGATCACAAACGGTATATAAAACAGTATAAGTCATTATAATCAGTAATTATGTCCCCACTGGATGCAACAAATGCCTTGTTTGTAATGGGTTTTAATGTTTTTGTCTCGTCGCTCCGGCCGGGACAGGGCATCATCACATTATGATAGGGGTGTAACATTTCCATCACACGCTTGAGATATTCGGCCAATCACAACGCACTGGATAGCTGGCCAATCACAGCACAGCACGCTTTTTCAGAACGATGAGCTTTGTAAAAATCGATGCGTTTCAGAAGGCGGGGCGAGAAACAATAATGTACAGTATGTGGAAAATAACGTGTTTTTTTTACTTTAAACCGCATAAACACATTTCATTACACCAAACACACAAAATAATGTTCTTTTTAGCAGCATCATATGACCCCTTTAATGATGTTTTCAAGGCCATCACAAGTGATTTTTGTAATTTTAACCAAAGCTCATCTGTATTAACCAGTTAGATATCATGCTCTTGGTGACATATCAGCAGATTTGCAATGACAGAATACAACAGAAAACCAACGGCTTGCGTTTGCAATGCGCTAAAAGAGGTTTTTAGTGGCAATAAAAGGGCAGCTGGCCCAAAACTGTGCCACCCTTGTTGTCGAGTTTGATAAAGCAGGTCACTTCCGTGCCATTTTTGGGAAGTGAGTTAAGAAACTGGTTTAGAGAAGCTGGTTTAGGGCTGGTCGTCTGTGCTTCATTGAGAGCTTTCACAGTCTCTCATGTCTTTCTCCAGAACAGCGAGTGTGTGATTACAGGTAGCATACAGCGCTGCAGGTGTGGGCGCTTTCTTTCCGATTATCTGAGTGCAGTGAAAGCTGCTGATCAGACTAACAAACACAAACTGCACCAGCTCTCATTGCTCTGATACTGAGTTTCCAGATGGGTGTGTCGAGTATTACGTAAGAGCAAAACAAATATTCCTTGTGTCAATTTCCATAGCATTATGCCGCCCGCCTCGTCCCTCAGGCTGCTTTGCCTGATGGGAGTTTGATGGTGCGCTCCGATGTGGTGAACTGCTAAAGACAGTGCAGACTCAAAACGCACGTTGTGGCACAAATAAAATTCTCAAAATCCAGCAGCCTATTGCACAAAACCCTTGATGGTCAGGGAATCCTTAGCGATAATTTACTCATAAGTGCTGCCTTAGCTTAAGGGTTTTGGTGCAGATATTTAGATTCAACAGAGGACCTGTAAAGTTATTGTGAGTGTGCATTTGAACTGATTTTTGCTTGTGAAAATGTTATTAGTGTGGATGGTTCACGTGGAGTCGCGGTCAGTTTAAAGCAAGTTTGTGTTTACGTTCAGCAGGCTCTTGTGTTTGTCCACATGTGCTGGACAGTTTTTCTCTATAATACTTTTGCACGTGTAAAATGTTTTTTAATTAATAAATAAATTATAGTGTACCTAAAGGTGATTAAGTATATGCTTACTACAATTTATACTCTTAATTGCCATTGGAACTTTAATTAACTTTAACTTTAATCCACTTTAATTGGTCTGGTTTACCTTCTGGACTCTGTTTTTATATAGTATTAATTAAAAAAGCATGTCTAATTAATTGAAACCGTAACACTTATACAATTTAACAATTTATTAAAAAG